GGTGGGAGCGACAACTTCCTCCTCATACAAAAATCTAGGGGCGTTGTTTTTCTCTTGGCTCCTTTGCCCGATGAAACACTTCGCCCGCCCGGCGAGACACCCCTCGCCTGACAAAGCTTGGGCGAGTCACCACCCTCCATACAATTTCCAAGGGCTCTGTTTTCATCCCTTCCCCTTTGCCTCACACTCGCCCAATGCAACGAGGACGAGACTCCTTCGCCCGATGATGCATCACGCTCGTCCGACGAGCCTACGTAGACAGAACTTCTCTGTTGGAATCTCTGCACTGCACCAGTCCAATTTTTACACGATTTCATCATATTACAGGTCTCAAGTCATCATAATTTCACTTAGTTTCATCATATAACACCAACACAAATTATCATACATCATGTGCATCAATTCTATATAAGAAAACATCACAATTTCACCAATTTATCATCAAACATCATATTAACATCATCAACCCAAAACTCCAACACAAACCTACAATTATCTAGACATTAAATCAATTATAATAACAATGATAAACTCCCCTTACCTTAGATTTCCTAGCAACAATTTATTCCTCTGCGTGTTCTACCAAAATCCCTTAGCTCTTTCAGTGTCCTACCTCTCCACAACGTTCTTCTCTTTTCATGATTGCATATAATGAGACTCTTTTTTCCTCTATTCCTTGTTTAACCCTTGGACCCTTTCTATGATCTTCCCATATTATCCTCACTTACATCACAATATTACCACCTTACCCTCATAGCCTTTACCTCTTGTTATTATTCTATTAAACTAGTTAAAATAATTCTAACTAGTTATTCTAATTATCCTAACTATTCTAAAAATACTCATTATCATCTTAACTCTCACTATTCCATCGTACATCACACAAAACATCATATCAAGCATCATGTTCATCAAGACATCACATTAACATTACAAATACGTCACAAAAACTCATCATAAATAAATCAAATAATGAATGTTAAATGTTAAATTTGGAAACAATCAAAAGAAAGGAGTGAGGAAAGGAAACAGGAATCATGCGATCAATAATATACTATATGGTTATATAACAAACAAGCGAGAGGGAATAAGATAGAAAATTGGTGATTAGACACATGTGTGTTAACCTATTTTTAAATAGGTTACATGAAGATTCAAGTAAGATTATGTTTAAGATTATGTTCAAATGAGGTAATACAAAGATTTTCTAATTTGGAAATCTACTGATTAAAATATTATAAAATCTTTGTATTGCCTCATCTTAAACATAATTTTGTTTGAATCTTCAGGTAATCTATTTCAAAATAGATTAACACACATGTGTCTGATTATTTGATTGGATGCATGTTTTTTTTCATGGGTTATTGATATCACTCTGATTATACAATCCAAGAACCCGAATATTATTTTTGATTATAGGATTCGAACATATCCTCTGACATGCGTTTAGATTCTATAAACTAAATCATGAGAGACTACATCATAATTTGAAGTTTTATGATCGTAAACTTGACTGACTAGTTAAATTTTTTTGTTAGTAATGGAGAAAAAAAATATGTTGAGGACCCTCTATAGGGAAAATCATACTCATCTAATGCATAAGAATGTGAACGTAAGATACACAGGGGATATATCTGAACCAACTGAGCGACAACCTCAATCTCAAAAGTATTATAAGGTACAAAAGACCAAAGTATATCTAGGAGGATCATATGACAAATTTTTATTATGGTTTTACGGAGAGCATGTGGCTAGAAATATCTAAATGAAAGATGCATGATACATAATTTACAATTTATTTTCTATTCTAGTTTTATATTACTTATTTTTTTTCCCAATATCATGACGAGTCGCTTAAATTTATGAATAACATTAAGAAGATCATCTTTATAACATCCTAACTTAGATTAAGATTTATTTAAGGTTTTTTTTTATTGTTTTCCTAATTAAATCAAATTAGAGACTATGGGGACATTATACTATTCCCTTTATTGGAGAACATTTTGGTCATTTCAAGCAAGGATTATGAGGCTAAAGTGAAAAAATAAATGATATTTTACTTCTTGTTTTTCCTCCTTCACACGAGAATGGAGAGAAAAGGGAAAGGTGAACTTATCTTGCAAGTCCTCTTCAATTGAATGCAAGTTTCAATTCAAATATCCTTCGAAATATTTGAGAAAGCAAGAACTTATTCATGGAAGCAAACAAGGGAGCCCACTGTCAAATCCTTGCATGATTGTGTTGGCATGGAAAAAGTCGAGTTGTAAATGATTAGAGCAAAAGAGAACAAGCTTAGGAATTACAAGAGGCTAGAGAAAAGAGCTCTTCATCAAACCATCAACATTTGCGGAAATATGAAGGACAATAAGTTCATCTTAAATACCAAGGAGTTAAAAGAGGCTATATAAAGGAGTTATTTATAAGTTCTATTCTAATTAGGATGAATCATAATTAGGGAGAATGTAAATATTATAATTTTTTTTTTAAAAATCAAAGACTATCTTAAATGTAAATTATGATATTTTAGTATAGTTAAAACCCTAGTTAAACATGATTTACAAAATAGACCAAAATGTCATTCATATATTTTATCATTCTTAAACAATTGAAAACACGTGCTTGCGTACAAAATACGTTTTTCGACGAGATATGATTTTGAACACGATTTTTTTTTGTAAATTTTATTAAGTATAACTTATTGAAAAAAGGGTTAATACCTATTTTCACCCCTGACATATGGGGTGTATTTGAAAAACCCCATGCCAAAAAAAAAGTTCCAATTGAAATTTTAAAAATTTCAGTTTTGCCTTTTGTTATATTTTTATTATTATTTTAATGACATGGCTTGATTAGTTGTCATTTTTAATTAATTTTTAATTTTTAATTCTATATGGCATTATATTAATATTTTATTAATTGAGTGTTAATTCAAAGTTAAAATTTTTTTGTCCTTCAACAGGAATCGAACCATGGACATATGCAATGAACACTAGACCAATGCATTTTCTTTGTTACATATATGCATCAATAAATATTTATATGATTAACATATTAATTACAATTATCAATAAATTTTCTTAACTAGTTGGTTTAAATAGTTTTTAAAAAAATGTTTTACATATTTTATCTTTTTACTGTAACTTTTTTTAAATTTTAAATTTTCAAAAATCACTTAAATTTAAAATTATTTTAAATTTAAAATTACTTTAAATATTTTTTCGTAAATAAAACTGATTGTTTTTAATATTTTGATTTTATATTTAAGTTAGTTGATGTTAAAATTAATCTTTTAATTTTAAAAAAATAAGTTGAAAATTTTATAATAATTATTTAAAAGAAAATAACTTTTTAAAGCTAAACAATTTTTTAAAAAAACTTTTTAAATTATTTAACAATTTTTAAAAAAAACTTTTTAAATTATTTAAAGATTTAAAAAGTTTTTACTGTAAAAAGATAAAATATTTAAAAATTTACGAAAAAATTTACTGTAACTTTCAAAAAGATTTATTAAATAATTTATTTACTGTAACTTTAAATAATTTACGAATTTTTTTATTTAAAAAGTTACAGTAAAAACTTTTTAAATCTTTAAATAATTTAAAAAGTTTTTTTTTTTAAATTGTTAAATAATTTAAAAAGTTTTTTTTAAAAATTGTTTAGCTTTAAAAAGTTATTTTCTTTTAAATAATTATTATAAAATTTTTCAACTTATTTTTTTAAAATTAAAAGATTAATTTTAACATCAACTAACTTAAATATAAAATCAAAATATTAAAAACAATCAGTTTTATTTACGAAAAAGTATTTAAAGTAATTTTAAATTTAAAATAATTTTAAATTTAAGTGATTTTTGAAATTTTAAAATTTAAAAAAAGTTACAGTAAAAAGATAAAATATGTAAAACATTTTTTTAAAAATTATTTAAATCAACTAGTTAAGAAAATTTATTGATAATTGTAATTAATATGTTAATGATATGAATATTTATTGATGTATATATGTAACAAGGAAAATGCATTGGTTTAGTGGTAAGAAGTGTTCACTGCAGACAGTATGTCCATGGTTCAATAAAAATTAATTAAAAATGACAACTAATCAAGCTATGTCATTAAAATAATAATAAAAATATAACAAAAATATAAGCCACATCAGCCTTTTAGGTGATGTGGCATTCTCAAGGTAAAAACTGAAACTTTTAAAATTTGTAAGGTAACAATTGGAACTTTTTTTTTTGCGGGGGTTTTTCAAATACACCCCATATGTCAGGGGTGAAAATAGGTATTAACCCTTGAAAAAAAGATAAAAAATAAGAATACTATTCAAATCATAAATATAATTTTTCCATATATAAAAATATTTTGATCAACCATAGATTTGTTTCCCATATATAAATATTATTTTTGTTTTGATACTCTTTTTTCCTTATATCAAATGTCATGTTTTAAGTATTTATTCATTTTTTTATTTTTATATTTTCACTAATATATTTTTATTTTATTATATTTAATCAACTTAACTAATTTTAATAAGGGTAATATTAATACGTGTCTTAAAAATACATATTAATAAACTTGTAAATAAAAAGTTTATGTCAAACATAAAAAATTTATTTTAAAAATCGTACATCAATTTGAATAAAAGTTTATAGTCAGTTTTTTTTTCAATATATATTTTTTATTTATGACTTTTTTTAAACCTGTATTAGCATTATCCTTTTTAGAAAATATATGCACAATATACTTACTGACACGACTTCATAGTTATGAAATTTTTCTTGCAAGTAGTAACTCTCAATGCCAGAAAGTCAAGTCAGTGATCAGACACAAATGCCAATAATAATAAAACACATGGAATCATGAATTTATTCTCTCGCAACTTGTGGAGTATTTATCCTAAAATATAAATCACATATTAAGTTTCTATGAATCACATTAGTATGCTATCATCAATGAGTATTCAATACAGTTTGATCCAAAACAAGAGCAACATAACAGAATGACCTAACCTACCAAAACACAACCTTGACAGAAAAAGCATACTACTAAACAACCAAGCAGAACCCCACCAAATACATGAGGTAAAGTGTCGGCAACATCTTCTTCTAGCTTCTTTTCATCAATAGGATGACCTTGAAACATGTCAACCACAACCATATTAAGCACCTGTGTCCAACCATACATACATTTTCTGGAAATTATGAATATACACACAAAGACAATCAAGACAAGAAGAAAGTGACAAGTAATAACTTACTCCGTCTGTATCTCATACCCTTACCGATATATCAAAGAAAGATGTCACAAATTTAGTTGAACCTGGTCTAAACCTAACATCTGTGATGAGAAGTGAATGTGTTTCTTCAGCAACATAATTATTAAAAGTGTCAATCTTCCAAATAAAAACCTGTTATCACAAAGTACAATTAGTTTGGAACACAAGGGAAAAGCCAGACCATGATTAAGAAGAGATAAGCTAAAATAAATTTGGAGGTTAATTAACTTGAAAAAACCTTATTGTCATGTCCGGCAGTTGCCATAATTTTTTCATTTTTAATGAAAAATGGATGGCCTCTGTGTTATAAAAACAGGGGTAAGCCGTTCTTACTACAACGACTAATTTGAAACTATACAAAATTAACATACCAAGAAGATTTTAAAACTATACTATGCTAAAATAAAAATTTGTTATGAGCTCATATATGTTGTCTCTACAAATCAATATAAAAAAGAATAATTTGAAAATGAAGCACATTGTACAAATTGGATAAAGACATAGTACTCTTAACATAAGTCCATGAATATTTTACCTTTAGTTTCATTTCTACTGTTTGTTCCTGAAATTCATTTCAGATTTTTAAAAGGCATAGTTCGATTATCAGAATTTTCATCTTAAGTAGACATGTAAGAATCCAGATTTTCATCTTCTGGTTTTTCATCTGCTGCATCCCCATAACCCTAGTGCTTATATTTCATTGGAAATAATATAAGTTTATAAGACATGAATCAAATTGACAAAATAAAAGAAAAATGAATTAACAACAATGATAGCGGAATTAAACACAATTATTCATTGTAAGTAGGAATGAGAAGATATCAAGGATTTTCTTTTAAGATATTCAATATTCATTGTATGTGCAACAACTTAACACTACTATACAACTATGAATGAGGACATGTGAGAGAGCTCCACTTAGGATCATAAACCCTCACAACATAGACAGTGAGGTGAAGTCCAATTGTGAAATAAAGCAGTCAATTTCCAAACGTAATAAACAAATTAGACTAATCGAAGAGCACACCTCTTGTTTGAAGGACCAATTAACATCTCAATGTCATAATGCATAGCTCTTGTTCTAACTTCTCATTGTAACCCTAATCCAAGAGCACACCTCTTATTCCAACTTCTCTAATAACCCTACCTTCAAATTGTCCACCTGCATAAAATATAAATAGTTTATTTATAAATGTTTTGACATGTCTCAAATTTAAAAAATAAGTACAAAATGAAATTTTAAGAGAAAACTATCAACCGGATAACAAAATATAAAAATATGATTCCTCTTATTTCTGCAAAATTCTCAGCAACCCAAAACGTAACAGAGGCAATAGCAATACATATCTTATTCCCTGTTAAAAATAAAAATTTCTAAATTATCATAGTTAGCAATGCAACAAAACGGATTTCATGAATCCATCAAACCACATATGCAACATGTTTGACATAAACTGACATTTAAGAGTTTGAATGGACAAACCGTGTTTTACGTCTCCATGAGCAGAAAAGTATTAAAATATGTCAGCATTGTCAATTGTGAGTTGCAAAAAAATAACAATATTGTTTAAATTTTGCTAAACTACAACACTATAGTTGTTATTTGACAACAATTTGTACTGAGTACCTTATCATGAAACATTAGCAATTGGTTAAAATTATGTCACACTATTTCCCACTATTTGAAGTAGAAAAATGAACTAACATATAGATTGCTCATAACAGCACAAGAAATGTTGGAAATGAGTTCCAAAGATACATAGTTTTGACAACCACTCCAAACACCCTTTACATCAAACAACCTACACATGAACAAACCAAAACAACATCAAAAAACTAAGCAGAACCACATAACAAACATATAACACATAATAAGACACTTCAAACATCAACAACGTCAACCACATCAATTTAAGCACCTACAAAATTGAAAAAACTGAATCACATTAAAGTGGAATTTTAACTTACAATTAATCTAAGTCTCTCCATAGTAGAAAAAAAATATGTTGCAGCCATGCCTGGTTTGTGCTCAGGACCGCGTAATATATTGCGGCCACAAATACCTGTAAATCATATCAGAACCCTAAAAAATGAACACTTTTCTACCAATGAGAAAAATCCTAATAAAAAGTTCATTCATAAATCACCTACCATTAACAATTACTCAAGAACAATAACAAATTAATCCAAAAAGAAGAACAAAACTAAAAATAAAAAAGAGAAGAAGAAGATCTATCAAGTAACTATTTTCACACCGCCAAAATCATATGTCTTCTAGAAATGTGAAACAATAACGCCTTCATCGCGAAACCCCTTTAGATCGTCACCTTCACCGTCGTTGGAAAACATTGTGCCATACTCGCCGTCATGAAAGCTCGCATCTGACCATCAAAGTTTCAGATCTGGATCGCCGCCACCACTCCGTTTGAATCATTCCAAATTTCAAAGGTTGTGTTTTTAAATACTGATAATAATTCAGTTTGAATTTAATTTTTATTACCGTTAACTAATAAAATTAAACTTATACAAACTTTAAAAAAAAATATATTCAAAATTTCTTACGACATATCACATGTAATTGTGTTAGAGGTTAACATCCTCCCCATTTTCTAAATTGTTATATAGCTTTAGAAATACAAGATATTAAATGAGTAAATATTTTTTACACATTGAAAACTATAGTAATGAAGAGAAAAAAATAAAGGAAATTTTAATGCCTATGGTTGAATTATGCTGCAATGAGAAATAAAAGAACCACTTAGTTTTTTTAAGAAAAAGAATCATTTAGTTTTTTTTAGCAAAAAGAATCATTTAGTTAAATCCAAGTTAAAGTAAATGTAAATAACAATGTAAATAACTAACAATAAATTGATCTATTGTTTAAATTTAGCGAGCATTTCATTCAAGTGGCTTTAACATTCTTGTCATGTTGTGTTGATGAACTACCTTTCAACTTAATGGGGGTACTGGTTGACACTAACCTAAGGAGAATTTTCAAGTGAAATTCCATAATTGATAAACTTAAAGGAAGACTAACAACTTGGAAGAGAAGACATTTATCTATGGGAGGGGCATCACAAAGACCCAAAAGAATTTTTTATGGGGGGTTTTAGAAATCAAAAGAAGAACACATTGAGTAATCTGGCCAAATGTATGCATATCAAAAGACAAAGGAGGGCTAGAAGCGAAGAATGTTGAGATGTTCAACATGTCCTATTATGCAAGTGGAAGTGTAGATATTGGTGAAAAGAGAAGCAATATGGGCAGAACTGTTAAGACATTGATATGGTAGTTTGGCTATGCAAATGGTTAGTGAAAAAGTCAATATGAGAAGAAGAAAAGAGCTCATATGGAGGAGAGATCTTAAGTTCATAGGAGGGAGTGACTAGATAGGAAATGAATGATTTGCATAAAACATCACATGCAGGTTGTGTGACAACAACATACCTTTATGGAAGGTTAAGTGGATTGAGAGTCAGACCATGAAAAATGTCTATCATGAGATGTTTCAAATGAAAAATTTATACCTAAAGGGGAATGGATTAATGACAAGTGATTTTGGAACTTTCACTCGAATAAAGATAACACTGATCTAGAATTGCAGTCACATACGGGGGAAATGCATAATAGTCTAACTAAAGTAGAATAAATAAAAAGAAAATTTTGATATTTAAGAATAATAATTTTGTCTCTCGGATTAATGTCATTGTTGATTAAAATAAAATAGGTGATATTCTTATAGTGACCCGTGAGATAAAATAAATTGTTAATTTTATTAAAATGAGATAAGATAATATATATATATATATATATATATATATATATATATATATATATATATATATATATATATATATATATATATATATATATATATATATATATATATATATATATATATATATATAATTTAAAATAAATTACTTAATTATAAAATGAAAAATAATTATATAATTTAATTGTGTTAAATAATCATGAAAAAAAAAACAAAGTGACATATAAGATGAATAAACAAAAAAAAAGGAAACTTTAATATTTAGAAATAAAGGTTTTGTGTTTAAGTTTAGGCAAATTATTGATTAAAATAAAACACGCATTGTGCTGATAGTAACTCGTGAGATAAAATAAATTGTTAATTTTTTTAAAATTAAAAAATAAATTATTAATATTTTTTAAAGATAATAAGTAAATAAGAATGATTAAATATGATTAAATATGTCATAAAAATCAAAAATTTCAAACTTTCATTTATATAATTGTGAAATTAACAATATATAATTTTTCAAACTCGCATTTAAATACGTGTAAATTTAACAATATAAAATTAATAAGGGTCTTTACGATAAAATTTTATAAAAATACTTAAAAGATAATTTTATTTTTTTAAATATTAGTGGATACTTATTTATCAATCTTCATTTTACCACCGTGAGAAAAAGGAAATGAAAAATAGAGAGAGAGAAAATAAAATAAAAATGAAAAAGTGTAGGAAGAAGAAATCAAGGGTAGTTTTAAAATTAATCAAGAAAAAAGAATGAATGAAAGTAATATTTAATTGGTGAATATTGAAAAATGAGTGCCACGTGTCAAATGAGTTGAACAATCAATTTCTACGTAAAAATATTGAGATATTAGATATAATATCAAATATAATTCAAGTTAGATATGTTGAGATATTATATATAATATCAAATATAATCCAAGTTAGATATGTTGAAATATTAAAATAGATTTGATTAGATTTGATATTTAAATATAATTTAAGTTGTGTTAGCTCAAGTCCAATTAGAATTGTATATAAATAGTCATAGTATATATCCTTATTTTGTATAATACAATTCAAGTGAATATAGAATTCTTATTTCCTTTGTTATTCTCTCTTTCTCTCCTCTCTAAAAGTGCTTCACGCACTAACAAATTGGTATCTAGAGCTTCCAGTTATTGTTCTTGATCGAATTTTCAAAAACTCCACGTTAAAGATTGTGTTTCCAGGACAAGCGAATCAACCGCTGCGAAGATGACTAGTGATAAGAGCATTCTGAATTCTCTTCCAATGCTTGAAGACAAGAATTGGATCTGATAGGAAAAAAATACAATCCTTGTTTGACTTCCATGAATTCCCAGAAGTGGTTACCGGCCGACATTCATACACTGGCTGCAAATGCAACCGAAAAACAGAAAAAAAAACCCACAACAAAGTAAAGAAGAAAGATTGGAAGGATGCTTATTGCATTCATACGACGGTTGATGCTACTAACTTTGATAGAATCTCTCATGCTGCAACGGAGAATGAGGCATGGGATATTCCAGTGAAGTATTATGAAGGAGGTGAGAAAGTCAAGGTTGTCAAGTTGCAAATCTTGCATCGACAATATGAGTTGTTGTCAATGTGAGAAGATGAGAAAATTGCAGAATATGTGTTGAAGGTTCAGAAACTCGTCCATCTCATGAAGGGTTATGGTGAAACCATAACTGATAAGATGATAGTTGAGAAGGTAATGAGAACATTGACCTCTCACTTTGATCACATTATCGTAGCTATTCAAGAATACAACAATCTTGAAACCCTAAAAGTGGAAAATTTTGGTTGGTTTGTTGGAGGTGCATGAGATGAGGATTGTCGAAATAAAAGGAGTTTAGGACTCGATGCAGGTGTAACACCATGATTTAGTTAGAATTATTTTATTTAAAAATTAGATGATTTGATGTGATATGATACGTTGGTGAATTTTATAATGTGATGTGATGCCTTTGTTTAGAATTAAATACCTCGAAATTATTGAAGTTGAGATTATAGGGATGCATGGCTAAAAGTGTAGAATCATGAGGTCTGTGGTATAATATAGCTTACTAGTATTATTATATTATAATATTAGGATTATTATTATTTTATAATAATTATTAAATAATTAATTAATTAAGAAGGTTATATTATTATTGGGATATATTAAAGTGAGAATAAGAGAAAGAAAGTCAGTACGTAGAAATAGAGAAAGAGAAGCGTAGAAGAGCACTAGGAAGCTAGGGCAAGAGATTTCACCGTAGAGATCAAGAATCAACAAAAGTCTAAGGTAAGGAGGGATTCTAACACTATAATGGGTTTCCTAATAATTGGGTATGGTAGAGTTTAGGTCCCATGGTTATATGTTTTGATTTCTCCCTAATTGGTGTTTTGGGGTTTTACCTATTGATGAGTTCTTTGGTGAATTGTGTGTATTTGTGGTGAAAAATTATTGATGAACATTAATGAAATTGGTGTGATGTTTGTGTTAGAATTGTTGGATATAATGTGTGTTGATCACTATATGATTTTACATGTTTTAGAATGTTTTCAAAAGTGATTTTTGGGTGGAAAAAGTGAAATCCCGTAGCAGAAAAATATACTGATTTTTTGACTCTGGTTCACTGGTAACCTGTTACAGGGATTGAGTAACCGGCTACCCGTTGCAATTTTGAAAAATACTGGGACTATTTTGTATGCATTAACCGACTACTGGTATTGAGTAAATGGTTACTGTTGAAGGTTTTTGTGTGACTCGCCACTGTTTTGTATGTAGTAACTGGTTTGTGGTATTGAGTAACCGATTACCACTGTGTTGGACAATATTTTTGTAAAAGTGAAAACTTCATAACTTTTGACTCGGATGTCCGTTTGACGCGCTGTTCGAACCCACAAGAAGCTAAAAATATTTTTTATCTAATAAAAATAGTTTGAAAACAGTATGAGATGATTTTCTGGATTCTTGTATTATTCCGGTATTATGATGTAATGTGAAGTTGTGAATATGATGATGGAATCGATGAGATCGGTATTGTGATTGAGTACGATGATGTTGCATGAATATTTTGATTGTGTGACATGATATGCATGATAACAATGATGATGATGGTCTGTATTGGCGTGGCATTGATAGGTAAGAATAATCAATGTGAGATTATGTTGTTGCATGTCAGTGTTACATCCATTCATTAAAGATGGCTTGTATTGGTGAAAGATGACCTGTATTTACGAAAGATGGCATGTATTGGCAACAAATGGCCTGTATTGGCGTTGTTGTCCCAAGTTGGCATTTATTAAGTTGAGGGTTTTTCCATACTGGTAACACATTGTAATACGGTGGGAGAACTGACTTGGGTGTTTTGCGTTTTATTGCAAATGTTATAGATAGAAAGAGTCGCCACCGACTTTTCTTTTATCCAATAAAGGAAAGGATGAAAAGAGCAGGAAATGCCTTTTCATGAATTGGGGGGGGAGGGGGTAGGTTATGGAAAGGGAAGGTGTTAGTACCCTTTTCATCTGTAGTTATCTACGAGCTCTTAATTGCTAGCTCACTTTGAAATGCTTTGTGTTTTATGTATGTTTGAAAATATTTTGAAAACGCCTAAGTTCGGAAAACTTTGTAATGACTCTCGTGTCGTTGAGAATGTATACAA